ATATATATATATATATATATATATATGTATAGAGAGATCTACTCACAAGTATATATATATATAGTCTGAAAACGTGAAACATTGATTCATAGGTACCTTATTAAGTGATTTTCGGGTGTCGATGGAAAGAAGATTGAGATAATCAGTAGCCATGAGGGCACCAATGGCACTTACTAACAACACCTGCAATATCGGCATGGATGCCACCCCAAACAACGTCCAAAACCCCATTTTCCCTTCAATTCTTTTTGTCGATGTAATATTGTTTAATTTCCCAGCTTTCTAGCTAGGGTCTTGGCAATGGTTTGAAGAAAGATCTTGGCAGATTGTATTTGTAGGTTAGGTTGTTGGAGCAGAAGTCAATTTGTATTCTAATTCATATGCAATCCAATAAATTGAGATATTTATAAAAATGATGAGAGTTTATTTATTATGATTTTAATATTTAAGGAGGATGAATATGGTTCATTAATTATGATCAATACTTAATATTAGGAAACAATCAAAACTTCTATGAAATCACATATTAATCAAATGAAATAGACGTTTGAGATTGAGTTATATTGGTTGCACAAATGTCATAGGTTGTATAATAACCAACCTCTCTCTCTCTCTCTCTCTCTATATATATATATATATATATATGGGCCTTGAGAACTAATTAGTTTGTGGTAACCGTGAGGTCTAATCTCAACCACAAATCAATAGATAAATTAGAAAATTTATAATTTTGGTAATTTTTAATTAAAATTTTAATGCAAAGGCATTTTAAGTATTCTCTCTTCTCTCTCCTATCTCCTCTCTTCTCTCTCCGTCCCCCGGCCTCCGGTGATACCATAGTGGTATCACAATGCATCTTATATGTGATTGGGTATCACACTGTGGTCATTTGTGCAATCGATCAGATATATAACACAGTGGTATCACAATGCATCTTATATGTGCTTGAGTATCACACTGTGGTATCACCAGAGAACAGTGACCGGAGGCCGGAGGACGGTGGCCGGAAGACGGGGACGGAGGGAGAAGAGAGGAGAGATGAGATAAAATACCTAAAATGTCCTTGCATTAAAATTTTAATTAAAAATTACCAAAATTATAATTTTCCTAATTTATCTATTGATTTGCAATTGAGATTGGATATCACGATTACCACAAACTAACCAGTTCTCCCTTAAATGCCCCTATATATATATATATATATATATATATATATAATTTAAAAGGATTGAAATAAACTTGGAAGTGCAAGGAAGAGATTAATTGAAAGGAGAATATAATTGCATTAAACGACAGAAAAGCAACCATTTAAAGAAGAGTCGTAAGGAGACATTGGGCGCCGCCTCTTATGAACTTAATTTACCCTCCACGAGGTTTTTGTGGTTTAATAGGCCTCGGCCCCACCTTGTACATTTTTCATTTTAATTAACATACAAAATCAAAAGGAATTCAATCATCTTCACATATATTATATTTCAAAACCATAACCTTCTTTACCTTTTAATAATTTTATTAAAAATTAACATCTTATTTGTTATAAGATGAATCTTGATAAGAAAAAATATGTCTCTTAATAGTTCTAAAACTTTCTAAATGATTTTGTATTTTTGGTCTCCTTTAATCATTCAACATCCTAATTTTATTATAAATAATTATATTTTATTTTATACTTTATTATGAGATAGTTTTAATCATTTACATCAAACCATTCAGCAATTGACAAATAATCCTAAATAATAAAATAATTTTAATAATAAATAAAAAGAATGGATATGCATGCACGTACCTACGCGGATAACTAGACACATACATATTATATATACTAGAAGCGTACTCGCGCAATGCAGCGAGATACATCGTGTTTTTAATATTTTATTTTATTCTTTATCTCAGTCGATGTTATAATATGACTTTAT